ATCACTGAGATAGTGATTCTATTTCCTTTGAATATATACTTAGAAGATGGATTGCTGGATCCTATGGTATTTCTATTTCTAATATTTTGAGGAACCTTCATGCTGTTTTCTGTAATAGCTGCACCAGTTTATATTCCCACCAACAGTGCAGTGGTTCTCTTGTCTCCACATTCTCTCCAACACTTACTATCTTTTGACTTTTTGATCTTTCTGATAATAGTCATCCTAACAGGTTTGAGGAGAGACATCAGTGTGGCTTAGATTTGCATTTCCCTGATGACTAGTGATATTGAGCGTCTTTTCGTATACTTGTTGGCCATTTGTATGTTGTCTTTGGAAAAATGTCTGTTCAGGTCCTTTGCCCATTTTTAAACGGAATTATTTGTTTGGGGAGGGGTTGTCTTGTTTTCTTTCATTTACTTTTTTTTTTTTTTTGGTGGGGTCTTTAGGATTTTCTATATGTAAGATCACGTCAGTTGCAGACAGAAACAAATTTTACTTCTTCCTTTCCAATGTGGATGCCTTTTCTTTTTTTTTCTTGGCTACGAGCTGTGGCTAAGACTTCTTATGCTATGTTTAATAGAGGTGGCAAGAAGGGCATCCTTGTCTTTTTCCTGACCTTACAGGTAAAGCTTTCAGCTTCTTAACCAATGGGTGTGATGTTAGGTGTGGTCTTGTCATATATGACCTTTATTATGCGGAGGTGTACTTCACTATGAATGGAGTTTTCATCATGAAAGGATGTTAATGTTGCCAAATGATTTTTATTCATGTGTCGGTAGGTTCACATGATTTTTATCCCTCATTCTGTGGATGCGTGTCACATTTATTTACTCGTTTGTACATGTTGAACCATCTTTGCATCCCAGGGATGAATCCCACTTGATAGTGGTATAGGATCCTTTTAATGTGCTGTTGAATTTAGTTTGCTAGTAATTTGTCAAAGATTTTTTTCATCTGTGCTCATCAGGGATATTGGCCTATAATTTTCTTCTCTTGTAGTGTCCTGATCTGACTTTGGTATCAGGGTGACTCTAATTTCATAAAATGAGCCTGAAAGTGATCCCTCCTCTGATTTTTTTGGAACAGTTGGAGAAGGGCTAGCATTAAAAATCTTCTTGAAAGGGGGCACCTGGGTGGGACGTCATTAAGCATCTGCCTTAGGCTCAGGTAATGATCCCGACATCCTGGGATCAAGTCCCCACATCGGGCTCCCCGCTTAGCGGAAAGCCTGCTTCTCCCTCTCCCACTCTTCTGGCTTGTGTTCCTGCTCTCACTGTGTCTCTCTCTCTCAAATAAATGTAAACATTTAAAAAAAAAAATCTTCTTGAAATACTTGGTGGAAGATTTCTTACTACTGATTCAGTCACCTTACTCATTATTGGCTTGTTCAGCTTTTCTATTCCTTCATGATTCTGTCTTGATAGATGGTAGGTTTTTAGGAATTTATCCATATCCTCTGGGTTGTCCAATTTTTTGCCATATAATTGTTTGATAATTGTAGTGGTCTCTCATGATCTTTAGTATTTCTGCGGTATCAGTTGTAATATACCTTTCATTTTTTATTTGGAGTCTATTTTTTCTTAGTCTAGCTAAAGTTTTATCAATTTGGTTTATCTTTTTAAAAAACGAGATCTTAGTTTCGTTGATCTTTTCTATTGTTTTCCTAGCCTCTATTTTATTTATTTCTACTCTGCTCTTTGTTATTTCTTTCCTTCTGCTAGAACTTTGGAATTGTTCTCTTTTTAGCTCCTTGAAGCGTAAATGTAGGTTGTTTGAGATCTTTCCTCTTTTGTAAGATACACATTAAGCTACAAACATCCCTCTTAGAGCCACTTTTGCTCCATCCCATAAGTTTTGGTATGCTGAGTTTACATTTTCATTTGTTTCAAGATTTTTGAATTTCCCTTTTGATTTCTTCTTTGGCTCATTAGTTGTCCAAGAGTTTATTAGGGGTTTTTTTGGGTATTGAGTTGGATACATTTTTTTATAGATTTTGGATACTACCAACCCTTTATCAGATACGTCATTTGCAAATACCTTCTCCCATTCTTCAGGTTGCCTGTTAGTTTTCTAGTTGTTTCCTTTGCTGTACGGAAGCTTTTTTCTTGATGAAGTCCCAGTAGTTCATTTTTATCTTTGTTTCCCTTTGGCTCTGGAGACGTTTCTAATAAGTTGCTCTAGCTGAGATCAGAGAGGTTGCTACCTGTGTTCTCCTCTAGGATTTTTTTTAAGAGTTTATTTATTTGTTTGACAGAGAGAGAAGGAACAGAAGCTGGGGGAGTGGGAGAGGGAGAAGCAGGCCTCCCACAGAGCAGGGAGCCTGATGTGGGGCTCGATTCCGGGACCCTAGGATCATGACCTGAGCTGAAGGCAGACGCTTAATGACTGAGCCACCCAGGCCCCCCATCCTCTAGGATTTTTGATGGATTCCTGTCTCACATTTAGGTCTTTCATCCATGTTGAACTCATTTTTGTGTGTGGTGTAAGAAAGTGGTCCAGTTTCATTCTTCTGCATGTTGTTGGCCAGTTATCCCAGTGCCATTTGTTGAAGACACAATCTTTTTTTTCACTGGATATTCTTTTCTGGCTTTGTCGAAGATTAGTTGACCATATAGTTGTAGGTCCATTTCTGGACTTTCTATTCTTTTTTTTTTTTTTTTTAAGATTTTATTTAGTATTTGAGAGAACATGAGATGGGGGAAGGTCAGAGGGAGAAGCAGACTCCCCATGGAGCTGGGAGCCCAATGTGTGACTCCAACCTGGGACTCTGGGATCATAACCTGAGCCAGAGTCAGTCGCTTAACCAGTTGAGCCACCCAGGCCCTCTGGACTTTCTGTTCTGTTCCATTGATCTAGGTGTCTGTTTTGGGAGCCAGAGTGTAGTATGTCAGGCAAAATTAAGTCCGTCAGAGAAAGACAAATACCGTGTGATTTAACTCATATGTGGAATTTAAGAAATAAAACAGATGCACACAAGGAGAGGGGCAGAAATGGAGAGAGGGAAACAAACGGTAAGAGACAAAGATGGAAAACAAACTGAGGGGTGGGGGAGGGAGGTGGTTGGGGGATGGGCTAGATGGGTGCTGGGCATTAAGGAAGTGACTTGTTATGTTGAGCACTGGGTGTTGTATGTAAGTGATGAATCACTGAATTCTACTCCTGACACCAGTATTACACTGTATGCTGACTCATTAGAATTTAAATAAAAAATTGAGAAGTAAAAGAGTGTATGCCTTAATTTCCACATATTTGTGAATTTGCCCTTTTTCTAGTTATAGACCATTGTGATCAGAAAAGATACTTCCTATGATTTCAATCCTTATAAATTTGTAGGACTCATTTTATGAGTTAATGTGTGATGTGTCCTGGACAGTGTTCTATGGATGGATGAGAATGTGCACCCTGCTGCTTTTGGATGGCATATTCTGTGTATATGTTAGGTTTGTTTGGTCTCAGCAGTAGTCCAAGTCCAACGTTTCTGTGCTGATTTTCTGGATGATCTATCCATTGTTGGGGGGGGTAGTGAAGTCCCCTATCATTATTGTGCTGCCATCTATTTCTTCACATCTGTTAATATTTGCTTTATAAATGTATTGTATGTCTACCATAATTTTAAGTGAGTGATGAGTTTAAATAGTATTTGAAGAACTCTTAAATAGTATTTGAAGAACTTGGGATATGGTCAGCACTGACCACCAGCACTGTTGGGGTCTGCTGCTTATGTTCATGCTCGAAGGAAATGGCAAATTTCAGTTTGAAGCTGGTGGCAAGGTCAGCAGAATTTTTCCTGCCCAAGTTCACTGTGAGCTCCTGGCTCAAGCCCAGGTTTTCCACCATGGCCACTCATGTGTCTGGCTCAGTAAAAGAGATCCCAGGGCACCCACGCAATCTCAGGGTCCCACTCACTGTCACATCCCACTCCAGCCCACCTCTGAGAGAGCAGAAGTCAGTGTTCATTCGTTCACTCAGCTGACACTGAACTCCAGCTCTGTACCAGGCCCTGGGACAAAAATGGTGAGACCCAAAGTCAAATAATATGAGGTTCCTGCCTTCAAGCTGCTCATCATCTACTCAAGGAAGAGCACAGAGGTGCCTTCCCAAAGTGCAAAATGTGAACAAGGACAGGGACATGTCACTCTTCCTAGTAATCAGAAAATAACCAGCGGTGGTGAGGTGGGGGTCACTCCTGGACAGTAACACTGTCCATCCATCTCTCACATACTCCTCTGAAAAGAAGTATGGCACTGCATAGCATTCATCATGGAAGTTGGTGGGTTTTTTTTTAAGCATTCCTTTTTTTCAATTTTTTATTTTTTTAAGGATTTTTTTTTTCTTTATTTGAGAGAGAGAGACACAGCAAGAGAGGGAACTCGGGGGATTTGGGAGAGGGAGAAGCAGGCTTCCCGCTGAGCAGGGAGCCCAATGCAGGGCTGGATCCCAGGACCCCGGGATCACGACCTGAGCCAAAAGCAGACACTTAACTGAATGAGCCACCCAGCGCCCCAAGCATTACTTAAAAAAAAAAAAAAAGATTTTATTTATTTATTTAGAGAGAGAGAGATCATGAGTGGGGGCAGGGGATAGAGGGAAAAGCAGACTCCTGCTGAGCAGGGAGGCTACCACAGATGTGATCCCAGGACCTTGGGATCATGACCCAAGGCAAAGGCAGATGCTTTACCGACTGAGCCCCCCAGGCACCCTCATATGGAAGTTCTATATACTTCTTTCTCAGCACTATGCAAATTTGCATGTTTGTCCCCAGGAAATAATTCAGGACAGTGGGAAGAGGGTGGAAGGCAGAGGTCCTTCCCACTCTTCTGAGTTTGTGCCCTCCTGGGGAAGGCCTCGCTCAGCCGGTACCGGCACCTGTTAACACCCATGGAGGTCTGTTGGGTGAATGTTTGACCACCGTGTGGTTACAGTGGACAAGTAAGAGGAAGGTGGTATGAAGGACAGTCTGGGAGCTCTCCGCTGATCAAGTCCTGCTTTCTTTCCAGCCACCCAAGTGTCAGGAGAGATGGATAAGCCACTGATCAGCCGCCGCCTGGTGGACAGTGATGGGAGTCTTGCCGAGACCCCCAGTGAGGCCCCCAAAGTGGGCATCCTGGGCAGCGGGGACTTTGCCCGCTCCCTGGTCACACGCCTGGTGGGCTCTGGCTTTAGTGTGGTGGTGGGGAGCCGCAACCCCAAACGCACAGCCGGGCTGTTCCCCTCAGCGGCACAAGTGACTTTCCAGGCGGAGGCAGTGGACTCCCCTGACGTCATCTTCGTTGCCATGTTCCGGGAGCACTACTCCTCGCTGTGTGGCCTCAGCGACCAGCTGGCTGGCAAGATCCTCGTGGACGTGAGCAACCCCACAGAGCAGGAGCACCTCCAGCACCGTGAATCCAATGCAGAGTACCTGGCTTCCCTCTTCCCCACATGCACAGTGGTCAAGGCCTTCAATGTCATCTCTGCCTGGACCCTGCAGTCTGGCCCAAGGGATGGGAACAGACAGGTAGGTGCTGGAGGGGGAGGGGGGTATACCAGCCATCAAAACAATAAATATAAATGGCTAATTTTTGTTGAGGCCCCTTAGTACGCCAGGCTTATCTCACATCACTGTAGAGTTCCATTTTACAGAGTGGGAAACTGGCTCAGAAAATGTTAATGAACTTATGCACACCAGGTCCCATCGCTGGAGAGCTGGGATGTGAACCCAGTTCATACGAATCTGAAACCCATGTCCTTTCTGCCATGGTAACTCAATTTCCGGCGGGGGCAAGGTGGAAGACGCTTTCTTTTTACTATCTGGAGTCAAGAAGAGAGACTCTGCTATGAGAACGGACTTAGAAAGAGGAAAGTAACACATTTATGTGCCAGGTCCCGAGGAAGCAGGCAGGTCCCAAACTTGAGCACTCGAATTCCAAGGGCTTCCAAGAACTGAGTCAGTTTTCCAGAATAGTCAATAGTGGATTTTTTTTCCCTGAGGGGTGGAAAATGGCTCCAGGAAATGGCCAGAGCTGCATACAGTTCTTGGCAGGAGGGGTTCCTATGAAGACAGGGTGGTGTTTATTTATTTATTTTTAAAGATTTTATTTATTTATTTGACACAGAGAGAGGGACAGCGAGAGAGGAAACACAGGCAGGGGGAGTGGGAGAGGGAGAAGCAGGCTTCCGGCTGAGCAGGGAGCCCAATGTAGGGCTCAATCCCAGGACCCTGGGATCACAACCTTAGCCAAAGGCAGATGCTTAACGACTGAGCCACTCAGGCGCCCCGACAAGGTGGTTTTTAATGCCGAAAGGATGTCAGGCTCTACATGTGTGAGAACTTCCACCAATTTGTCCAGCCCAGATACCTCCTGTGCCCAACTCTGTGCCACTCTGTGGGAGAGCACTCAAGGGTCTCACTGCCCCTGACTGGAGGGCCTTGCGTGTAGCCTGCACCATAGGACTCCCATGTGTGGACAGGCAAGGAACAGTGTGTGAGGACTGGGAGGCAGGGCCTAGAAGGAAACAGAGCAGCTGGCTAGGAAGACTTTGAGGTCAGCTTTGGCCTGGTCCTACTTCTGGGGTCAGGTACGGGGAGCGGGGAGGATATCCCCGGCTGTGGGGACCACCTGCAAAGGTACAGAGGTGAGTAATGAAGCTTCTGGACCTTAGTTTCCTCATTTGCAAAATGGGGCTGTACCGACCTATAGGCTTTTGGTAAAGCGGCAGGACTACATGTGTAAAGCCTAGTGCATAGAAGGTGCTGAGTCTGTGTCGGTGGACCAGATGGACCATAGCCGTGTGAGCAAGGCCCACAGTGTTCAGAGAACCAAGGACACCAACCGGAGCTCACAGTGGGAAGCCATGGGCTATGAGTCTGGGACTGGCTTGTGTGTTAGCTGAGGGCCATGGGGGCCGAGGTACACCATCAAAGGGGACACTCATGGACTGAGGGACAGAGCTACGTCCACGGCTGCACATTCTGGGCCATATTCAAAGCCCATTTACTGAGCGAGCCCCAGAGCAGGCCACCGTTCTCCAAGTACCTACTCCAGGGGCTCCTGGGGGCTCCCCAGGTGCCATGTTGCTTGTGGTTGCCGATAGCCTTGAACCGGACAAAAACCCTCATTGTTGGGTGAGCCCTGGGTCCTCTCTTTGCATCGTGGTCATGCTGGACCAGGGGCCAGGAGGCTACAGGGGGCAGGGGGAACAGCCTGGGCTGGGAGTCAGAGCCACCTTCTGTGCTGTGGCTCCGTGGCCTCAACTTCCTCTGCTGCTCAGTGAGGAGCTGTGTGGAGACACTGCCCCCCAGTCCCTGCTCGCCCCTGTGGCCTGTGACCCCGTCTGATTCTCCCCTTACCTCCTGCCACAGGTGCCCATCTGCAGTGACCACCCGGAAGCCAAGCGGGCGGTCTCGGAGATGGTGCAGGCCATGGGCTTCATGCCTGTGGACATGGGGTCCCTGGTCTCCGCCCGGGAGGTGGAAGCCATGCCCCTGCGCCTTCTCCCAGGTTGGAAGGTGCCCGCCCTCCTGGCCCTGGGGCTCTTCATCTTCTTCTACGTCTACAACTTTGTCCGGGACGTCCTGCAGCCCTACGTGCGGGATGGCAAGAGCAAGTTCTACAAGCTGCCCGTGTCCGTGGTCAACACGACGCTGCCGTGCGTGGCCTATGTGCTGCTGTCCCTTGTGTACCTGCCCGGCGTGCTGGCGGCCACCCTGCAGCTGCACCGTGGCACCAAGTACCGCCGCTTCCCGGACTGGCTGGACCACTGGCTGCAGCACCGCAAGCAGATAGGCCTGCTGAGTTTCTTCTGCGCCGCGCTGCACGCGCTCTACAGCTTCTGCCTGCCCCTGGGCCGCGTCAACCGCTACGAGGTGGTCAACCTTGCCATCAAACAGGTACGTCCTACGTGTGCAGCCACCACCCCACCCCCGGCCCGCGGGGTCCTGCCGGGGCGGCTGCACGAGATGCCGAGGACTGGTGAGCCAGGCGGGGTGGTGTCGACGCTGGGGGATGCAGCCCAAGGCTGGGAGCAGTGGGGGGGATGGGCACAGGACAGTTTCAGAGGTTCCGCAGAAGGACCTGGGTGCTAAGGAGAAAAGCCAAGCAGGGGAGAGTAGTGGAACTGTCTTAAAGCAGGTTAGAGGGGAGGCCTTGCTGAGGTGGTGACAGGTGAGCAGAGGAGGAAGGAGGTTGAGAGCGGCCAGCTGGCCCAGGGAGCAACCAGAGCAGAGGCTCTCCGGTGGGAGCATCCAAGAGACCAGCGAAGGTGGTGGGCTAGGCCTGAGTAGTTGAAGCCAGACCGGGGAGGCCCTGAAGGCAGAGGAAGGGCTTTGGCCTTGGGCTCTGAGTGAAACAGGGAGCCAGGGAAGGGTTTTGAGGAGGGGAGATTCTCTGCCTAATGTTTTAGCTGGCCTGTTCTGGCTGCTGTGGGGAGAACAGGCAGCAGGGGGCAAAGGCACATGCCAGGAGACCCACTGGGTGCCCGCATGGGAGCCCAGATGAGAAGTCACAGGGGTCCGGAGTAAGGTGGGAGCAGCAGAGGGCAAGAAAGTATTGAAGGCAAATTTTGAAGCCAAAGTGCACAGCATTTTGAAATAGAAGGTATGTGGGATGGTCAAGGATGACTCTGGGTTTTTGGCCTGAGCACCTGGATGGAGGCAGTTGCCATCAGGTGAGGTGGGGAAGACCACAGAAGCAAGCTGGGGAGTTGGGGGACTGGGGAGAGGTGTTAATGATTCATTCATTTAGGAAACCCTATGGTGCTCTTTGCCAGCAGGATTCCTGGGGAATGGAGGGCCTAGGGCCAAGCCAGGTAGCAACACAGGCAGCACCAGCGGGCACCTGTACCCACAGAAAAGGGCCCCCTGGTGATCCCCCCAGTTTACAAAGCTTACAGGGCCTGATTCTGAGTCCCAGGCTCCAGTCTATAAGCAACATTGCCTTTCTTTCCCCTACCATGTGCTAATGCTACCTCTAGTCCCTGGCCAGGCACATGGGTCCTTCCCACTGCAGGACACTAGTCACCCACTAGAGTTTGGCCCAGTTGCCAGTGAGACCCTCATTCCGGCCCAGGCGGCCCCTGCAGTTCCTGTTCTCGCGTGGGAGACAGGGCTCTCCTCAGGTAGACCCAGCATGTAGCCATCCCCTCAGAAGCCCAGCAACCTCCCAGAACGGGACCTGGAGGCAAGTCTGGGCCGCTTCCAGAGGACCATGGACCTCAGCCCCCCATTCACTCTTGGGGCTCCCCTGCTGGTAGTTTCCCAAGTGTCCCCATCCTTCCCTACCCATGGACACCTGGCATCATTGCGTCTGTGGGCTGAGGCTTTCCCAAGAGAAAGGAAGAACCCCAGACTGCAGGCGAAGAAGCAAGACGCCCACTGGAAATGCGAAGAAGGGAAAAATAATAGGGCACAAACCTTGAAAAAGAACATGCTGCATTCCAGGCACCATCCTAAGTGCTTCATGGACTCCCCAGGAATTCTTTTAACCCTCATTCCTCTAATGCACGTGCTAGGCTACCCTTATTTTATAGGTGAGCAAATGGAGGCACAGAGAGGTTAAGTCACTTGACCAAAGTCATACAAAGTGGCTGAGCTGGGATTCAGGTCCAGTCGTTTGACTTCAGATCCTTGCTTAGATCCTTACTGCTTTATTTGGGGAAACTAAGTCCAAATGAACAGTTGAGTAAATGATCCCAGAACTTAGGTCATTCACTCATTCATTCCCTGAGCACCAACCCTGCCAGGCCCTGGGGCTGCAGAATGGCATAAGACCCGGCTTGCCTCTTGCTGTCCTGATTCTGCGGTGGGAGTAGGGTGGTGAAAACGCCTGAAGGCCAGAGCCCTAAACGCTTGCTCTCCAGCATCACTAACTAGAACAGAGACCTTGACCTTCAGCAGGTCACAGCCCCCCTGGTTTGTCCTGAAGGCCCTACTGCAGAGTGAGGCCTCTCCCACTGCTTCTGTTTGTGATGCTCTTTGATGATATTTTCTTCTAAAATGAGCCAGCCCGCTCAGCAGGAGGCTCTGGGTGGCTTCTCGGGGATTGGCACAATGTCTGCTGCCCAGGAGGTGGCAGATCTGGGTGGCAGGTGTTTCAGGGAGTGGGTGGAGAAGAAGGTAATTCCTCCTCCCCTCTAGAGCACAAGGCAGACCCTTGCGCCCCCCTTCTCCCATCCGCCCTCTGATGGCCATTCTCTTAATTCTCGCCCCTGCCAAGGCTCTACTGGATGTTGTTTTAACTCCGTTTGCAAATAACCAGAGCGCAGAGGGCCGAGCCCTGTAGGGCTGCAGGCGCATCTCCCCACCATGGAGGTTGCCAGGCAACCGTCACTCCCACAGGACAGCATCCCTTGGAGACTGTGAAGCCCTGTCATGCACCGGGCTTTCACTTGTCCTGCAGAGTTCTGGAAGGAGCTGGGGCTAAACCCAGGGCATACGTGAGAGTGTTGGGGAGGAGGAGGGGTTAGAGGAAAGGAGTGGGGAGGAGGCCAACACTGGGCAGGGCAGCCCAGCAGTTGGAACCTGGAAGAGTTGGGGGAGAGGCTGGGTAGTCTGTGGCCTGAGACTGAGCGGCCGAAGCTGCTCGGTATTCAGCCCTGACCTCAGGCTCCTGCCTGCCCCCAGGCCATCCTCAACAGGGCCTCCAGGGAAGCCAACACTCACCACCCTGGCAGGGAAAGGGACCGTTAGCCTGGGCACAGGAAACTCTCCACGGTTCCCTTCAATCCCCTGAGTCTGCAGATTTGGAAACAGAGTGGTATCCTAGCCACAGTCCCTGAGACTGTGTTCATCGACAGTAGACCACCTTACAATACCTAATATTTGCACAGGGCTTTCTGATTTGCTTGTGTGGCTCCCTAGAAATGCTTTTCAAGATCAAAATCAAAGATCAAAAACAAAAATCAAAGAAAACGATTAACCCACACACTGTTTTCTCCGACCGCTTACCACCACCCTCCTTCAGGCGGTTGGAGAATCTAAAATTTGCATCTTACCTTGTCCCTGTTGTGAAGCAGTTCAGTGATCCCCCACAGTCCTCAGGGTAATGAGAAACCCTTCACAGTGCAGTGGCGTTCTCCCCCCGCCCCCACCGCTGGTCCTGTGACACTCAGGTCCCGTGTTGCCCACTGACTGGCCACAGCTCATTCCTCCTGGCCCGGAACCCCCACCCTGGGACACCCTGTCTGACAAACTTGTATTTCTCTTTATTAAAGATCTTTATTTATTGATTTGAGAGAGAGAGCACAAATTGGGGAGAGAAAGAAGCTGTCTCCCTGCTGAGCAGGGATCCCGATGTGGGGCTCGATCCCAGGACCCCGGGATCCTGGGATCATGAGCTGAGCCGAAGGCAGATGCTTTACGACTGAGCCATCCAGGGGCCCCCTGTATTTCCCTTGTCAACCCTGCTTCTGTTAAGCTCCTCCAGCCTGTCTCGCCCACTCCCCATACCGACTGCTGTATTTTGTCCACACTTCCATGATGTTTATTATGCACCTCTTCATAATCCCTCATTGATAGGTCTGTCTTCTGCCCCCGTTCCATTCCGTGACTGCATCTTCCACCCCTGAAGTCCATGGCTCCTGAGAGATTCCCAATGGAAGTTCATGGAGCGGCTGTTAAATTAGCCACCGTGAACCCAATACCCGGTATCTCTTAGGAGGAGGACATGTAGAGCTTAGGGCAAGAACTAGTCTAACTTCTAGCTGCTGTTAAAAACAATAGCCAGTTAAGCGTCTGCCTTCGGCTCAGGTCATGATCCCATTGTCCTGGGATCGAGCCCCACATCGAGTTCCCTGCTCGGTAGGAAGCCTGCTTTCCATCTCCCACTTCCCCTGCTTATGTTCCTGCGGTCTGTCTCTGTCTCTCTCTCTCTCTCTGTCAAACAAATAAAATCTTTAAAAAAAAAAAAAGCATCAGCCATTTATTGTGCTAATCACCTACTGTGTGCCAGTCATATGGGACTCGCTGCACAAACATCGTCCTTTTCTTCCTCTGTGATAACAGCCAGAAAGAGGCTGTGGTGCAATTAGCCAGGGAAGGGACTGCCCAGGGTCTCGTGACTGCCCCCTTGTGGCAGCGTTGGCATGGCACTCAGTCTCGGGACTAAAGCCATTCATTGTTCATTACCAAAGGCCACCCTTTCCACATCCTGTGTCCACTTTCTCTGGGCTAGGCTGGGGGTCAGCACCACGCTCTCACCACCTTTGGGACAAGGAGAGGGGCTCATGCCACTGACCAGCTCAAGCTGGTCCTGCTGCTCCTGGGTTCTTCAGGCCGGAGCCTGCAACCCACAGGGAAAGGAAATCCTACATGTGAACGGAGCTATTCTGTCTCCTATTGGCAACCACTATCCTTGTCATTCTTAAGGTGGCCAGCTGGACTAGCTGTGAACACGGGGGAATTACCAGGGGAATGTAGAGCTGCTGAATAGACATTCCAGGTAGCCGTGGGTGACCCTGAGCACCAGAGAGCCCTGAGCCCAGCACAGTGGTCCGGCCAGGTGGCAAGAACCCCACAGGCTGTTGAAGGCAGCCAGGGTGCAGATCCTCACGCAGGTCCCTTGCCACCCATTGCTCGCCTGCCCACCTCACCCCACTGCTTCCCGGAGGCATTGCAGAGTGGAAATTATTAGAGGAAAAAAAAACAAAAACAAAAACCAAGACATTTTGCAAGCAAGTGTGGTATGTGAGTGTAGTCATCCAGACTCTGACTTGTGACATTAACTGCCTGATCTTACTGAAACGCAGAGAGGAATGACTAATGAAGTCTATCGGAAGAACAAACAATTTGCAGTGAGATGACTTACTTAGTGGCAGTTGTCAACACCATGAAGGGGTGAGTAAGACTTGGAGCTGCGTTACGCAGGAGACCTCTCCGCCCTGTGCAGGGCAGTGTCGGTCAGAGCCCTCCCGCGAATGCCAAGGCGTGCTTGGTACACAAGCCCAGTTAATGGGATCGGGACTGTGGACATCACCTCTTCCAGCCTGGGGCTGCCCACAGTCACATTGGACTTGCGGTCAGGATATGAACCAGAGTCCCCAGACTCCTTGGTCCTTTTGTGGCTTAAGGACACCGACACAAGCCAGCCTCCCCCAAAAACAGAACTGAAGACATCGTGTTTCTCAATTGCAGGAAAAGTACCCATTTTCTCAGTTTCTTTAAGCTTTGTGTCATCAGCTTTTCAACAATTTCGCTCAGCCCACTGGACTCATTTTTAATATTATATCTGGTAACTGGGCCTGGCTTATTTTTTTTTCCCCTGCTGAAAGAGTTTCTCACAAACTTGTATGAGTCATTCTGTTTTGCACAGCAGAGACCTGCCTGCTAAGGCAGAGTCACATTTCCGAATAGAAAATACTGTTCCTTGATCTGCTGCTAGAGTGAAAGTACCAGCATTTCATGGGGTTTCTCAGAGAACACCTTGATTTCCAGGAACTCTGCTACCTGGTTTAGTTGACAAATGACGGTTCCAATGAAAAGACCTTAATAAAAGCTTCCTTGAGTGTGTGTGCCGTACGAGGAAGTGCCGGCTGGGCTGGGAGTGGGGAGGTGGGCAGTAGAAACCTCTAGGCCCTCAGGGGCTCCCTGATTTGTGTCTACTCCTAGCTCAGTGGGGACTCCCAGCACTCTGGGAGGCCAGGCACCGTGGCTCCCTACAGCCCAGGGCTCAGCACACAGCAGGTGCCCCGTAAGTACTCACGACTTGGTGTTGGTGATAGATGTCAGTCTCTGTTGCCTGGCAATGGTTGAGCCAAAACTCTGTTCCTCAGCGGAAATGGGGAACTGAGTGGGAAGTCGGGAACTGGTGGCTTTGAGTCAGGAAACGCGGAGGGGTTTAGTGTCTCTGTGTGTTTTTGTGTGCCCTGAGTGGAAGCTGGTGGTTTGCGTGGCTGATTGTACTGGGTGACTGACCCCAGGAAGATTTGAGAAAGCCAAGACCTGGACTGCCTGGGTCCCCACCCCGGCTCTGCCATCTACAGCTCTGTGTGTCACCTTGGGAAAATTACTTGATCCTCGTGCTTCATTTCCCTCATCTGTAAAGTGGGGATAACAGTGCCCCCGACCTCTGGGGTTGAGGATTAGGTGAGCTAATGCCTGAAAAGCACTTAGAGCAGGACCAGGCCCATGTGGGACATGGTGGGAATGTTAGTCATTCCGGTGTTTCCCTAGCCCTACAATACCCTCTGGCCCTCACCCCAGGGCACGAACCTCTGCCGCTGTGCTCATGGTATTTCCTCCACCCACGTCAGGTCTTGGCCAACAAGAGTCATCTGTGGATCGAGGAAGAGGTCTGGCGGATGGAGATCTACCTCTCCCTGGGAGTGCTGGCCCTTGGTACACTGTCCCTGCTGGCTGTCACATCACTGCCCTCCATTGCAAACTCGCTCAACTGGAGGGAGTTCAGCTTCGTTCAGGTAAAGCAGTTCTGCCTGTGCTGGTGAGCGTCAGCCCGTTTGGCCTTGGCCCTGACCCTCCGTGAACCCTCTTGGCTTTATAATCTGTGCGACAGGACTGCTCTGACAGACACCGGGGGCTTCCCAAGCCTTGAGGGCTCCCCGACGTCTCCTGATAAAGGGGCTACAGGACAAGCTCGTCCTCGGGACATCTGGGGAAGCCAGATGTAGACATGTGAAAGGATTAGACAACAGAACAGTGAACCCTGAACTAAAACATTCTCCGTTCCTACAGTTCTTGATCTTTCCAAACAAAATTCCATGATGCACCGTCATTGTGTATCTCACTGGTCTAGCCTAGGAGTCAGTGAGCCAGTGAGTGAGCTCGCTGACCACTCAGCAGCCTCCTTTCAACCAACTCTGTTGTCCCCTTTAGGCCCAAGAGGAGGTGAGCATTAAGATCACCCATTTACAGGGGATAAAACTGCACGTCCCAAAGGACACCATTCCTGTGACACACCCAGAGAAAAGGAGACCTGTAGTCTAATACACTTGAGAAAAGATTTGCTTCCCTAAGAGATTCACAGTGTGCTTTTGGGACATCGAAGATTCTAGTAACATCTACAACAAACCGACCTTGTTAACCAGACTTCTTTGACCATGAACACTCTCCTTCCCCCCACTTTTGCAGGTTTGGCTTTTTGCTTTGTTTCTGGTTTTCAGACAACAGCGACTGCATTCCACCAGACACGGTTTAGGAAATGCTGCTAAAGGGCTCGGGGCCTTTCTGCAGGTGTTCTTTCGGGAAGTGTTTATTGGGCGGTGACTGCCCCGTGGTAGGCCTCCGGTGTGATAGGGAACAAGACAAGCACAGCCACATTTCAGTTACAAGGATGACTGGGACAGGGACCATTTTCATATTGCTTTGGCATTCCCCCACTGTTCTCTATACGGAGTACTCGGTCAGCCCCCCAAATGTTGGTGGATTAACTCATCCCTCCGTGGAGGGGTGCTGACTAATGCTACATTCTGTCATTGATACTGGATTGGGGCAGAGAACAGCGCTCATATCCACCCCCAGTATCAACACAAATCTGTCACATCTCTCTTCTCTGTATGTTGAGGACACAGTACAGGATTCACAGAGGGACATTGACCGTGCAGTGCTCTTATGCAATCCAAATGAATTGTTCCCGATTGGTGACGCTTACATTCCCTAGAACAAAACACAGTTGTGGTTGTTTGGGCTTTTTTGGGTTTTCTTTGAAGTATGTCTGTTTCTGAACGTCACTGGCTTTGCTCATCTCCGAAGGTCTCTGGAGGAATGCTCGGGCTGACACATGCCAGCAGCAATGGGGGAAAAACAGAATTTTATTTATCTGCCGTTAATCCCCTTGGGTCGCACACCCAAATCTCGGATTTTCCTGTTCCTGCTTGGAGTATCCTGGAGTGCATGGTTTATCCGCAATTAAAACAGACTGCAGGTCTCTCCCCTCACCGAAAAGTTGCCCCACTAAGCAGCGGTAGATTACAAGCCGGGCTCTGGCTGCCGGAGAAAGCCCAAGGATTTGATTTTGTTAGCAAAAGCGGGCTGGAACCTCTCGGGCCGTGCTCAACTTCACACATTGAAGAGCTGAAACGTAAATATGTTAGTCCCTCGGCCACTGCAAGGGGAGGCAGGTTGCAAGGCCGGGAGATAGGTAGAGAGGCAGGGTTTTACTTGGGAAAGTCAGATGCCCACATTCTGTCCATGAAAACAAATGCTCTGTCTCCAGAGGGTGCTAATATGGGGAGGAGGAACGGTTAGCACCCAGGGCCTGGAGTCCAGCTCTGCCTTCCCCTGTCCCAGCTCTTGAATCATGGGCAGGTGACAAACGCCCCCTGAACCTCACCTCACCTGTAAGGTGTTCATGGGTGCAGAGCTGTGGTGAGAGACAACATGTGGAAGAAAGTAGAAAGCATCTTGCTACCATTCTTAGGGTGTGTGGCCAAATTTCCGTTATCCCTGACTAAGCTACCAATGTCTGAGTTCACAAGAGGCCAAGAGACTCCCGCCCTGAACATCAGAATGGTCCAGGGCTGGGTTTGCAAACTGTGGTCGATACTCACTGGTGGGTCGTGAAATGAATTCAGTGGATCACAGCCAGCTTTTTTAAAAATGAAATAGGACAGAATGTTACAAAAATGTCAGCAGGCTTTGCATGTCTTAAGGAGAGGTTTTGTTTTTTTTTTTTCAATTATATTGATTTAGTAGTTGTATTTACGTATGTGGTATACCTGGTTGTGTCCGGGACAGTAATGAAAAATGTGATTCTTAACTACATGCCACCATCTCCATGTCTGAAGTCACAAGGCTCTTTTGGAGAATTACAGTTGCCCAGACCCACCCCGACCTAAGGACTCAGATGCCGGAGAAGTCTGTTGTTGTGAGCTCCTTGGGTGACAGGTGTACGTGTGTGCTAACCGCTGGGGTGGCGGGCTGAGGTTTCGAAGCCACTGGATTCCGGGTTTCAGTCCCAAGCCGGCTGCCTGGACCCTGTCTCCTCCCGCTGCCGCACCCGACCACCTCGGGTCACCACGGTTGAACCGCTGGCCATGGAGACCCATGCTCCCCGATGCACTTGGCCTGACTCCTGGGTCTCTGACGATTTAGGGAGCTGAAAGCCACCAAAACAGCATGTTGACACTGTGGTGGTGACTTGTGCTTCTGTTCATACTTTTGTTCCTGAGGCTGTTCCCCAGGTTTAAATCTGGGGGTTTGTGGTTAATGGCTGTATGGCTTTGGTTTGGTCCTGGCTGTGCTGACTGCTCAAAGTTAGCCAGTTAAGCCTTGTCGGGTTGCCGAATTGCCAGGTCAGGGCCACTCGGAGACATCGGGGTTCTGCTCTAGCAGCTCAGTTCTGCCCCCGAGTGAGAGGGACTTCCCGTGACCTTGCCCACGCCAGCCACCTGCCTAATACAATGACAGAGACCATCTCTGACCCCAGCTTCATGAATGACTGTCCGCAGCCCCTCTATGCCACAGTAATTGACCAGGAGCAAGAGACACTGGCAACCTGGCTGTTTCTTTTTTGCTAACAAGCTTACATACAATGTAAATGACCTCAGCTTAGTGAGTGCAGGGGTTGTCGAGGTTGGGGGCAGGGCAGTGTGGGATTTTCATATTGTTTCCAAGGAGAGTGTTTTAGGAAAATGAACTCACTGGGACCATCCAGGCGTCCCATTGGGATTGCAAAGTCCAAAGGCCCTTTGTTACTGTCTGATCTTTGGCTGTTAGCCCTCTCTGTAGACCATTAGCCCGAGGCTGGGGCTTCCTGCCATCTGTCACCGTGGAATTTGGGATGGCAAAAGGATGGCGATGTGGGAATGGGAGCCGCTATCTCGGTGCCCTCCCAGCGCACATCCACATTGTCTGGCACAATCCATCCCTCCAAATTAGGGGCTAGGGATGGTGGTCCACGTGGGTCAAACCCTGGAGCTCCAGGACATGTCGCTAAGGGAAATACTGAGGCCTCCCCGGGGACCACCAGGGCTCGCTCCCTCGGCCTGGGTGGGTTCTTGTTGCTTCAGCATCTGGGGAAGCCCCAAGTGCAGAATGTGGGCCCATCAAGGGCTCAGTGGATCTTTGTGGAAGGATATATAGGATCAGGTCCATCGTAATCTGTAGCCTGGGCAGGGGGGCACACACACGGGCTTCTCATCCCTGACGCTGGAAAGGCTCCCGTGAGGAGAGTCTCTTAACCAGTTGTTCTGAGTCCTTACTGCTCATGAGCATTGTCGCTGAATTCCTAAAAGCTAATGATGCGGGAGCCCCACCCCAAGCCAATCTCAAGTGCATTTGCTGGGCAGGCTTGGGCATTCCTGTTTTTCCCAAGGTCCCCGTGATTTTACCATGAAGCCAGATTTGAAAACCACAGTCTCAGACTCAGGAGTAAAAGGCTTCCCAGCCATCCGAGCAAAGCCCAGTAAATCCATGTGAGTAAGGGGAGCAAGGGTTTGGGGCCGGGCGGCTGGGCGGCAGCTAGTTGAGGAGCATGAGGGTGGTTGTCCAGCTTGTTCAAGTTTTATTCCTGATGGTCAGTGCTGGGGACCTTTCCTCCCCTCTCAGTTTCTTTTTATTACAGTACAATAACATAACACAAAGTATACTCTCTTAGCCATGAAGTGTACAGTTCAGCAATACTAAGTCCATCCCCACTGTGGCGCAGCTGTCCCCACCACCCATCTCCAGAGCTCGTCCCATCCTGCAACACTGATGCTCTGTCCCCATGAATCACTAACCCCCACTGTCCACTCCCCCAGCCCCGGGCGACAACCATTCCACTTTGTCTCTATGACTTCACCGCCTCACATAAGTGCAATCCTACAGTATTTGTCTTTTTCATGCCGGGCTGATTTCGCTTAGCATCAGGTTCTCAAGTACGTTCATGTCCCACCAGGTGTCAGAAATGCCTACCTCTTCGTATTCCACTGTTTAGAAATAGCCCATTTCCCTTGTCCATTCTTCTGCTGGTGGGCACTGGGGCTGCCTCCGTGTTTTGGCTACTGGGAATATGGGGTGTCCACATGTCTCTTCAGGATGCTGCTTCCCATTCCTTGGGGGTACATGAGAAGTCGGAGTGCCGAAGTGAGTGATAATTGTATTTTCAATTTATTGAGGAGCCCCTCTTCCCCTGCCCCCACCTTGCACAGCAGCTGCACCCATTCATAGTGCATAAGGCTTCTGATTTCTCCACATCCTCTCAACACGTGTTTTCTGGGGTTTTTGACCATAGCCATCCTCATGGGTATGAGGCAACATCTCACTGTGGGTTGGACCTGCAGTTCCCTGAGGATGAGTGATGTCGAGCATCTCTTCGCATGCTTCTTAGCCATCCATAGGACTTCCCTGGAGAAATTTCTATTCAAGTACTTAACCTGTTTTCGAGTTGGGGTGTTTGGTTTTCTGTTGTTGAGTTTGGGAGTTCTCTATATAGTCTGCATATTAATTCCGAATCTTTCCTCAGTGTTGGAGACCTTCTTAACCCCAGTCTTCAATATCGATAGATCAGAACTTAGACAAAGTTGGTGTGGGTCAGAAGTTGAGAGGAGATTTGAAATTCCTGATAGAGTCCTCTGGAAGTGACAAGGGTCTGGTTGTGACTCCCAGTCAGGGAGCCTTCATTTTGGGGGCTGACCATTTTAATATGACCTGACTGTGTGGGTAGTAGCCCAGAGCCAACTATGGCTCTTCCCAACAGGAAATTATTAAAGACGGGATAAAAACATCTCCGAAGTTATTAAAAGCCAAGAAAGAAAACACAGAGATGGCTAGGAAGGCCAGAAACTGGGGATCTCTTAGCACCTAGTATTTTTTAGTGGTCAAAAATGCTGTACTTGGGAACCTGTCTATGAATGTAGAGTGTAGAGCCATTAGAAAATGTTTTTTTTCATAAAAGTATTGCAGGTACTTCTTCCAAACAGTGTTCTTCCAAGGACCAAGGTTGACCATCCTGGTGTTTGTACTGGAGTGGCGGTAAGCAAGGCGTCCCCCATGCAAGGGAGGAGTGAGAATGAGGCCAGGTAGCAGAATCAGACCCACTTAGCACTGTGCTTGAAGGGAAGCACAAGCAAGACCGTGTCTCTCAGTCGAGCCCTGGATCGGTGCTGACAAGCAGGGCTGGAAGGACATCCAGGAGGCCCAACTGTAGCTTCCCTGTGGGAGGCTGCAAGCCAGCCTATGAAGAGTACCCCGAGGTACCGTCATACTGCCACATTTCAGTTGAACCCTTCCGGCGTCTCCTTGGAGAAAATGCATACGTGTTCATGGCTTGATGAGTCACTGCTATTTTCATTCCTTATGTAATAAACACAGGGCTCTCCTGCCCCAGATCTCTCTGTGGTTCCTCAATGCGCCCAGTGCCTCTCCTCTGTGCCTCTGTGCCCCGCCTCTTGGGTGCCCCATGCTCTCCATCATCCCTGGCCCATCTGGACAGCGCTTCCCCCACATCTCCAGCTTTAGCTCTGGGGACCACTGACTTGTCACTGAGGCTCAGTTAGTGTCTTGCCCAGGGGTCAGTGTCATTGGAGTAGACTCTGGAATGCCTTGCTTGTGGTCCACAAGAAACTGCTAGAGATTCCCAGGCTAGAGCTATAGATCAAGACTTCCCAGCTCCCATGGGAAGTCAGGACTGTGTAGCCCTCTCGGCGATGAAGAGAGGCCTTGGCTGGAGTGGGTGGGTACACAGAAGCCCGCCTGAGGATCAAGGGCTGGCACGCTCGCCTTCCCAGCAAGATGGTGTAAACCGCTTCCGTTTGGGTTTGTGATGGTCTCGGTCTCCGCACAGTATCCACTCCATTCCAGGCAAGAGAGGAACCTGGTGGGGTTTCCATCTGAGGTGTTGATGAGTCAAGGTGTGGGTGGGTTGGGGACCAGCCCCCACCAAGAGCATTTACATGATGCTCTAAAGCCAGGCTTCCCAGATGGTGTCAGGTCGCCTGGCCCGCAGACTTCAAGCCGCCCTCACTCATGGTGCCAAATCCACACACGGAGTATGCTTGTTACTTTGTGTTCAGGTTCCAATCAACTTGAAACCAATCCACTATTTTATCTGGCCTCATCTTAGGCCAAATATGATTGGTGAAATTCTGGCTTTGGTCTGCTGGCAGACACCTGTGACTCTAGTGTACATGAAACTATGCATAAAACTTGTAAAATTTTTTTTAAACATCGTTGAACTTCATTCCATCTCAAGTCTCCTTCCCCTGGCAGTCACCAGACAAATAACACAGTTTGGGGAAAAGCAGCATCACTTTTATCAGATCCTCATGATTCCCTCGATCCTCACACACCTGCAGGATAGAGACATTATTTTCATTTTTCTGCTGGGGAAACTGAGGCTCTAAGAGTTTAGGTAGTGCTAAGGTCCTGCACAGAGGGAGTGACGGAGCTGGGATCCGATCCCACAGTCTCAACTACCAAAGCAGCCCTCCTTCCTCTCCTTTGGCCAGGCAGGGAGACAAGCGCTTGGAGGAATCACCACGTGTCACCAGCCTGTCCCTAACCCCAGCTTTCCTTTCTCCCGCAGTCCACTCTGGGCTTTGTGGCCCTGGTGCTGAGCACCCTGCACACACTCACCTATGGCTGGACTCGCGCCTTCGAAGACAGCCATTACAAGTTCTACCTGCCTCCCACGTTCACGCTCACGCTGCTGGTGCCCTGCGTCGTGATCTTGGCCAAAGGCCTCTTCCTGCTCCCCTGCTTCCGCCGCAAGCTCTCCAGAATCCGGCGGGGCTGGGAGAAGGATGGTGGCGTCAAGTTTACTCTGCCAATGGACCACACCTTGGCCCAGAAGACGAGCCACGTGTGAGGTGCCTGCCTCCGGCCCCAGAAACCAGACGCGGGCCAGACAGTACCCCTGGGCCTGTCAGGGCTGCTTTTCTGGATGGTGCGGTATGGTGAAATTGGGCGCAGAGCGGTGGTTGGAGGTCTGAATTCCTGGGACCCTAATGTACACAGTATAATACTCAGAAGGGCACACACGCGGGTGTGACATAGGTGTTCGTGTAGATGTCATATATATAACGGGATTTGCATTTATACTCACTTAGTTAAAAAGTTGAGTCTCTTGAGATTTCAACTTGTAGATTTAAAAAGCCAGTGCCAGATGTAGAACAGCCTGTTGGGATCTCTGCAGAGACGGACACACCCTCTTTGCAGTGAAAAAGGGCAGTGAGAGGCTTGTACCTTGGTGGATTCGATCCGTTTGTGTCCCCACTCCCTTTTTGCTGCTTTCCCCAAGGCTTTTGCAGAGCTGGGGCTCTAAGGGGGCAGATAAAAGCTCAACCTGGAGCCGATTCAGTGCACAGGGCTAAAGAGTTGAGACCCAGCAGGCAGAGCAGGGGCTGGCCTCCTCCCTCATTCACCTTGGGCAGCAGCCAGAGGTCAGGCAGGAGCCCCTGGGGGGTCAGACTGGGGGGTGAGCCTGCTGGCTGGACCCTGGAGCCAACTGTTGAGGGCTCCTTTGCCAGGTAGGAGGGGGTGGGGGACGGGGCCCAAGCTGATCTCCCTTGTCCTCCGTGAGCTGGGGAGAGTTTTTTTCCCTGGAAGTCCTACGTCCCCAACAGTGGAAGTACATTGATCTCTTGTGGGAGTGTGAAGTCACCTCCGTTTGGGAGCCACTAATGAACCATCTTGAGAACAAGTGTAATTTCTTTCCCTCCTTTTAGTTGCTGATGACCGTTCTTTAAACCACTGTGCCTTCTCACCTTTCAGATCATTAGTTTGGATATCTCTTAGGAAGGCCCAGAGCAGGCCCTCTGGAAGTCAGCTGGAGGGGGAGGGGAAAACAAGGCAGACAGCGCTGGGTATCCCAGCTGAGGCTTTCCTGGGCCCCACCCAGGGCATGAAGGACTGATGATTGATTGTCTCCACTGGCTTGGGCCTGTGGAAAAAACATTGGGGACCTTGTCAGATGTCTTCTGCTGGTGGGGAAAGAACCTGCCAGAAAACCAGACTGGCTCCAAGTTCACCACTGCTCCAGGGAAACAGGGAGAACGTGGGCGATGGGACCCACCTACCCCCCCACCAACCCCAGGCGGGTCAAAATCATCGGGAGGGTCTTTTCTACCAAAGCTACAGACTTGAAGTGCTTCTGCTCCAAAGCACAAGAGGCTGCACCACAGACAGGGTCATGGGACATGTGGCCTCAAATCCCATGCCATCTCTTGCTCGTTCCTACCAAAACCGCTTTTATGTCCCCTGTGGCGAAACAGCTGTTTTTAGCCGAGCCCTCCTCCCCCCACCCCCACCCCCGCCCCTGCCTCTAGAACCAGGATGATCTTGTCACCTCCACAAAAAAAGCAGCTTTGAACATAGAGGGGATGAAGTCCCAATGGAAGATACAAGTGAGGCAAATGCTGAATTCTGCTCTGAATGGGGAATGCTGGTCATGCTTATGTCTCAGGTCTTCTGGGCCAGAGGGGATTTCAGGAACAGAGAGTTGAGCCAGCAAAGGCTGACAAGACCATGCTGCAAGAAGAGCCCCCCCCCCCCCCAGGGAGGCTTCATGAGCTCTTCATGTCTGTAGAGCACGTAAGCATCCTTTAGTGAAAAGGGGGGGGGAAAAAAGCCAAGTGCAAGGATCTCTCATTAGGCCAGTGACTGATGGAGGGAAGGCAGTGCAGGCGAAGCTGTCTGCTTCCTGCAGATGTTTTCCATCTGCTGCTTCAAGGCTGAGCGGCAGAAACTTGTCTTCCAAATGGGCCCTGGTCCTCGGAGAGGCTCGCTGAAAAGGAGGCAGGCGAAGCACAGGTTCCAACATTTGCTTCACAAACAGGGCCCATCCATTTCCTGCTGGTGGGAAGCAGGGAGAACAGGGGCACCCGGGATCCACCAGGGATCTCAACCCCAGTCTGTATTGGCTGCCTGCCTTCTCTAACCCTCCCTGGGCCCCAGAGAATTTCCTTATACCAAAGATGCTGACCTTCAGCAAAATCCAGTATGCTTCCTCCCCTTTCCCCTGCCCACCTTCTGCCGCAGGTGCTCCCAGGGGAAGGAACTGGTTCCAAGGTGGGTGGCAGGAGGGAACAGGTGTAGTAGAGGACCTGGCCACCCACCAGCTGGACAATCAACTCATGAAAGGCAGGGTGCTCTAGGCACTTGGGCTCGATCTGGTGTCTGCTGCTCTTCCTTACCTCACCAGGCAGCTGGCAACAGCATCCCCATGAGAGCGAGTCACCCCCTTTCACCCTGGTAAACTCTATGTGCCTCTGGGCACAAAAGTGCCTGAACCAATGTGCTCCAGAAATCCTAAATGCCGTGGTCTGAGGTTGACGTTTAAAATCCATGCCATTGAAATAGTCTGTGTATTTTGTGTTGACCTTGTAGAGCTTGTCTAAGCAGCAGCAAAAAATAAACACCTAACCTTCTGTGAATTTCAGGCTTTTATTTCTGTCCTACTCATCACTTGCTCACTCATTCATTCACAGGCTCCATGAGCCTTCCGATTGGTCCTTGTTCTGAGTCAGGCAATAGGCAAGGCGAGCACAGAATGATTGGGCTAGAGCTCACCTCTGGGGAAGGACAGGTATGCATACCTACAGCAACAGGCAAGGAAGGCCGGATGAGATCCAGGTGACAATGTGGCGAGGGTGGGGGGCATCCACTGTGTGTATGAAAGAACACTCAAGCCAAAGCTGGGGGAGTCCGGGGAAGGCTTCCTGGAGGAAGCAGTGTCTGTGCTGCGGTCCGTCGGAAGGCTGCGGCTTTGAATAGGTTAGAGCAGTGGTGTTTTTCAAACTAGAATGTGCACCTGGAGTCTCAGTAAGGACCGTGTTCCAACACAGGCTCTGAGTCACTGATCTGGGGCGAGGCTTAGCCTATGCATTTCTAATAAACTCCCAGGTGACGTTGATCCTCAGACACTCTTAAGTAACAAGGGCTTACATGGCTTCCTTTGTCCCTGCTGGGCTGCATGGCTGCCCTGTTAACCCTCCCCAGGATGTCAGCTCCCTAGAAAGACAGGCCTGTGCACACTGCAGATGTGGTCACAGCCCCCCATCTCTGAAAGGCAGGACGCCGACCTATTAGGTAGCCAAGCTTTTCCACTAAAGCAGAGCTGTCTTACTGGATAGGGGCAAAAAGGAAAAAGAAACCCATGTGCACAAAGCAGTCTAGTGGCTAAAAACCGTTTCTTGGGAACAATAACCAAAAGACGGCCTTGAGCCCATGAAAAGAGCCTTCCAAAGAAAAGAACCATGGTCAGAAAACAAGTTCACTACATCTCATGCTTGGAGTTTTGTTTTTCAACTCCGTGTCCTCCCACACATGATCCTGAGAGAGTTAAGCTTTAAAAGAAGTGATGAAGGGCGCCTGGGTGGTTCAGTCTTTGAGCATCTGAGCTTCAGCTGAGGTCATGATCCCAGGGTCCTGGGATCAAGCCCCGCATCAGGCTCCCTGCTCAGCGGGGAGCCTGCTTCGCCCTCTCCCACTTCCCTGCTTGTGTTCCCTCTCTTTCTGGGTCTTTCTCAGTCAAAGAAATAAAATCTTAAGGGAAAAAAAAAAGTGATGAAAGAATGTCCATTATGTCCATTATTAAGGTGGTTCACACCAGAACTAAGGAGCAACCAAAATAACCCATAAAAGTTTCAGGGAAGATTCATCACTCAGCTATTTGACAAGCTGCGTCTTTTTCGAAAGCAGTGACATGGGCCCTTGGAAGTGCAGACACTAGCTTCTACTGGGTCACTGCCCTGCTCTCTTTATAAAGAGGAAAGTAGAGCAGAAACTCTCAGTCCCACCAGGACAGCACCAACTTTTGCTAATAGATGATTTGAAAATCCTTTTTACTCACCTAAAATGAAATTTAGAAATGGAACCCACCTATGCATATACTTTCTTAATCAAGAAGGTCTTAATTGCAATATAAAGGAGAAATAATTTACACTAACATATACAACACTAATAATGAATAGTGATTTGTTTTATTATTATTTTTTGAAAATCTTATTTATTTGGCAGAGGGAGACACAGCAGGAGAGGGAGAAGCAGGCTTCCCACTGAGTCGGGAGCCCGATGCGGGGCTCGATGATCATGACCTGAGCTGAAGGCAGACGCTTAACAACTGAGCCACCCATGTGCCCCCAGTAATTGGTTTTAAGAGAAATACAGTGATACTCAACATTATCAGTCTTCTTTATAACTGACATTAAATAAGATCTAAAGAAGTGTATGAGTGTGTGTGCATGTACAAGTGTGCCCTGAATGTCTGAAGTGTTCAATGAGGCAGAGAAGTAAAGTAGCAGTAGGTGAAGACCAACAGATGTCCACTGGATTTGGAAATATGGGAACTTTACAGTAAGAATGTCAGTGGAGTACTGGAGGACTCCAGTACGGAACTCCAGTACGGAAATGGAGAGCAGTGGACAACTCATCTGAGATCTGGCTATGAAGTGGGAGAAAGAGAGGATTGGTAACTGGGGAGAAATAGGGGGGTAGAAGAAGGAGAGTTGGTTGTTTTTGTGGGTTTTTTTTCCCATTGTTTTAACCTGAACATGTTTTAGGTGTTCTTGGAAAAGAACAAGATGAACAGGAGTAGTTGAAGTTGAGAGAAAGAGAGAGAGTGGGGATCAAAGTCCCAGAGGATGTGTAAAGAGATGCTGGCTTCGGTGAGGAGTGGAGGAGTGGCTTGTCTTTTAATATTAGGAGAAAGGCGCATGGGTGGCTCAGTTAGTTGAGGTCCGACTCTTGATTTCAGCGAGATCGTGATCTCAGGGTTGTGAGATGGAGCCCCACATTGGGCTCTGTGCTGGGGTGCTGGGCGTGGAGCCTGCTTGGGATTCTCTCTCTACCCCTCCTGCTGCCCCCCCCCAAAATTAATTAATTACATTAAATTAGGAGAAAAGGATAGGTGCCAATGGGTGGAGGATTTACTTTGGTGATGCAAGGTGTAGAAGTTCTCTTCTGATGATGTCTGTATCCTTTGTAAAAAAAAAAAAAGTCAGAGGCATCTGCTAAGTGTAACCATGAGGGAAGACTTGACTCTGATGGCTGAAGAGGGAGGAAAAGGTTGCAAATAATCGTTGGAGAAAGTCCAAAAGGAGCTGTCCAGGGAACGTTGATAGGGTTAGCCAAAATGAAAAGAAACAAACAAGTTGTTTATAACATTCTTTTT